CTATCCTTTAAAAAAAATATAAGTTTTATATATTAATTAAATTTCACATATGAATATAGGTTTTTGACATTTTCTACATTTTTGACAGTGAGGTTTTTGACGTGACGGTTTAAACCATGGTTTAAACTGTCAAAAAGTGTCACATGTCAAAAACCTGCTAACCCTGATTATATGAGGTGTACTTTATGTTTCATTATGAGAAGAAACAAACATTTAGATTTTATGTTACAAAACTTTAAAATTTGCAAAATATTTAAAAAAATCAATAAAAAGTCTTCACATAGTAACATTAAAATAATAAATTTCCATTTCATTAATGTATGATAATCTTAAGTAATGATCACACCATAATTTTTTGAGTTTATTTAATCTTTAAAGATTTGTTGAAGTTGAGAGTAAAATATAAAAAGTATGAATGTAAAGCAGAAAATTTTTTCTTCTCTAAACTAGGATTTCTACTTAAATATAAATATTGTTGATTATATATTAGTATGATTGTTTTGAGTCTGTTGAAAATTGTTTATTTGATGAAATTTAGTATGATTGAATCTTTGTGCTAAAATACAAACTAAGGTAAACAACGTTAAAGAGCACAAACAGGATATTTGTTTTGTGCTCTTTAACGTTGTTTACCTTAGTTTGTTTTTATGATTGAATCTGATGAAAATTTCATGTGAGTTATGAATTCATTCTTTCTTTTCCTTGGGTTTTGGAGGTTATAGCAAAAAACTTGTGAGTGTAAAAATAAATGACAGCACTTTAGAATAAACTGAAAAAATATTCAGATAATCAAGATTCTACCTATATATATCATAGTTTATTATCACATGGTCTATTATTTACTACAATAAAGTAGTAAATTATAATTGAACTTTACATTTGACATTACTTTCCTAGAGCTGTTGCTCAGTAGACAGATTTCCATTGTATAGAGAAAAAATTTTTTTAGTTAAAATATTTTGGTTAAAGGAAAAATTCTTAGGATGAATGAATAACTTTTTACAATTTATTAATAAAGTTATTACTTAATTTTTAATTTTCTGAAGCATTTGATTAAAAGCAAAACTAAAAAAATTATTTTTCATTTAATACTAGAAGTGCTGTTGGGATAATTTTGATAATGTTTTTGTTATTTCTCATGTTATTTCTAAAGATACCCTTGAGCTTCAAAGCTCATTTTTTTTTTTTTTTTTTTTTTTTTTTTTTTTTTTTTTTTTTTTTTTTTTAATAATTCTTTCTAAGTATACAGCATTAAAACTTTGTGCATTTATGTTGATGTTCATGTCAGTTTTTGATTTTGCATGGCTGCAAAACTTGAAAATGATCAGTACAGCATATTAAAATACAATACTTTCCGTTAAATTACATGCTACCTAAATTAGATGTTCAAAGTAGCTAACAGGGGTCTGTCTAGGTTTTTCTGAGAGGTACCTATTTTGTGAAAATTTAGATATAATTTGTTAAAAATTATATTTATAAATCAATACAAATATGGTCAAAATATGAATTTATTGTTTATTAAGGGATACAAAAATAAAATTTTAAGAAAAAGTATTTTGTGAAACCACCGTTTTTCCTTAAGTTGAATTTGTGAAACTACCGTTTTTCTAAAGTTTGATTTGTGAAGGTATCGCTAAATGGTAGTAAATTCGGCCTGGACAGACCTCTGACTTAGTTGAGCTCTTATTGAATTACATATTCGTTATTGCATCTGAAAGAAACCTTAAATGATCTGATTTATAAGCACATATTTTGTGATAATCATGTACGAGAAAGAACTGTTAGTGAATAGTTATTTGCCAAAATTCAAATTTATCACATGTTACAATTGTTGCTTAACTTTTTTAATGGTATTTCATATCACATTATGCATATTTTCTTTCTAAGTTCAATTACTCATGTCTTGTTTGAAGTATTATTAGTATATTAATTTATTTTTTATCTGCTCAGGATTGCAAGGCAATGCTTTGGGACTTGAATGAAGGAAAACACTTGTATACATTAGACCACACAGACATTATCAATGCTTTGTGCTTTAGTCCTAACAGATACTGGCTGTGCGTTGCTACTGGTCCAAGCATCAAAATTTGGGTATGTATTTAACTTTTCTTTTGAAAGCTTTTTTTTTTTGTTGCTTCCATGTGAAATTAACAGATCTGTAGTGACTCAGGACATATTTTTATGACTGATGTGCTTGTCGATCGACAGTTTTTTAAATTATGTGATACACCGATTTGCTCACCTATTACTTCACCTATGCACTTCAGTCAATGGCAAAACAGAAACTGCAAAAATTTAATTAGTTACTATTGTTAATAAAATGTTTCTTTTAAATGAGCACTTTGGAAGAAAGCAGCATGTTGAGATATATGGCTTTACTTAAACCATTTCTCAAGACAGTAAACTGAACAATTTATTAAATACTGTTTATATTCCTCACAATTATATCTGTTGAAAATAAGTTCTATTCATCATTAGAATTTTTTTTGCAGATCTGAGAAAGGTATATGACTTTAGTGTCATTTTACCTGGTTAAATTCTGCTAGATTAATGTTAATCTTTTTTTGTGTCATTCTTTCATACATTGAAAGTTTTTTTAAAAGAGGATTTACACATTTTTATTAAAAAACAAAAAAATTAACTGTCTTTAACTTTTCTGTTTGTTAAACTTGATGCAGCTGCTGATAAGCCCACATTCAGGTCATGTGGTACTTTTGTCTTTGGCACAATAATCGCATGGTGGACCTGCTTCAAGTATGATTGTATTGTGGGTGTACCCCGAAATTCCGCGTTTTTGAAAACAGCCCTCTGTTTTTAGAAACTAGGAGCAAGGGCATGTGACTTTTCTCTCAGAATTCTGCTTATCTCAAGACCATTAAATCACCGAAGGCTGCGAATCAAAACAAATCTAAAATTAAAATTTAGAGTTAAGATTTAAGTCATATCTAAAATTTAAATTTCATTATCTAAAATTTAAATTTATTCATTCATTATCTAAATCATTATCTAAATCTATCTATTTCATTATCTAAAATTTAAATTTCACAATCTAAAATTTAAATTTTGAGACCTTCCATAAACCATGTTCACGAGACGTTTCATAAACTTGGCTCTTCCCCTATTTTAATTTTTTTCAGTTTGTCAGATTTTTACCGTTTTTAATATTGTACACTGTACTTAATATTGAAACACCTGTTTTTAATATTGAAACTACACTGTAATCTGCTTTCATCGCTATTTTAATAACTATCAATTTTGGTACCTATCTCATTTAAAAATTGCATATTGCGATTCACATGATTTAGAAATCATGCTTTGTGATTCATATTCGTGTGATTTTAAAATCTAATAGCGCGATTGTTGTACGAACTAAGTTTTTCCTTAAATTAATTATTATAAAATGATGTTCTTTGTTTGTAGGTTATTTTATTATAAGTTTTAACCCAGAAAATTATTAAATATGAATAGTATATAGATTCTTCAGTGGGTCGTAAATGAGTACCAAGCATGCTTGGGAACTAAACACTGGGGGTTCCGCGTTCGGCTGACCACATGACCAGAACTTTTGCTCCTGCACCGCAGAGCCCAAGGTCAAGAAAACTGAGATGGGCACAGTAGGCCTTGCCCTCTATGGGCTGTCGCGCCGCTGAGTTTAGTATATAGATTGATATCTTTTCGAGTTTTTGTACTTTAAATTATCAGGGTTTTTCATTTGTCACAATCACCCGTTATTTTTCCAACAATCTATTCCTACACTCGACTAGCAGGTTTGTAAGCCTTGCAATACACTGATTTGCTTACCTATTCTCACTTAAGTCATGGCGAAGCGAAAGACTTTATTTTATTATAAAATGTATATCTTAGAATATTATAAAATGTTTATTATAAATGAAGACCTCAGAAACTAAAGTGATAATCAACACTTTTTAGAAGTAAACAGTAAGATGTTGAGATTTATGGCTTTCCATAAAGCATTTCTCAAGACAGGAAAGTGAACAATTTATAACATTCCTCGCAATTATATCTGTTGAAAATAAGATCTTTTTCTCATTGGATTTTTTTTTTTTTTTTTTTTTTTTTTTTTTTTTTTTTTTTTTTTTTTTTGCAGATCTGAGAAGGGTTTGTGACTTGTGTGTCATTTTACCTGGTTAAACTCTGCTAGACAAATCTTATTCTTTTCTTGTTATTCTTTCATATATTGAAAGTTTTTATTAAAGAATTAGTACATTTCTATTAAACTGTGCATATTAGTTTTTCTCTGAATATAAGAAATTTTTGTAAATTGTTAGTTATATTTCCATACCACGCAATATATTTTTTATCCCGATAATTATTATCCTGATATATTTCAAACAGTATGCAAAATTCGAATCATGCATTAAGTGTATTGAGTTTTTGGCAGTTATTGTTATTGATTTCTCCATAGTTTTTAAATCAATATTTTTATACGATATTATTCAGGGCTGATTGTGCTCCGGAAAAAATCCGGATTTCCGGATTTTTCGCTAACAGTGATCCGGAAGTTTCCGGAGATCGAATGTCCAGATTATTCAAAAAATCATTGATCACAGAAGTTTCCGGAAATCAAATTTTCGAAAGTGGAACTAAAAAACACAGTTTATTTTATTTGTTTGTAAGGGAGAGCCAGAGAGATACTTTCTAAGCTTATATTCCTGATTAATATTCATTTTTTATCAGTAAGTAGTTGTTATGATCATAAACTCAAGTAAGAAAGACATATTTGTAAATTTTAATTACTTCTTCAGGTCCTTATAGGTATGTGTAAATGGTATAGGGGTGTGTAAAATTTTAAATATATTTTAAGTAAACTAAGAAGTATTGAGAGAAGTAGAAAAACCTTGTTAAAATTTTTTTTCTTCTAATTTTTCAATTAAATTTTTTTTTTTTTTTTTTTTGCAACTCAAAAAATTTCCAGAATTTTGATTTGGGCTCACAATCACCCCTGATTATTTCAGGATAGTTAATTATTTCTTTTACTGTGATAATTATTTACAAAATGTCAAGAAGGTAATAATTTGTTCGTCCAACAAATTACGAGAATGTCACCCGTAATATTAGAATTAAAAATTATTACATGTTCAATTAAAAACGATTATATATTTTTTTTGTAATCACAGCGCCTTTGTTATATTAAATTAGTAACATGTTTGTTATTATTAAAAGTATCTTGTGAAGAAAAATATCTTGTTTTGTCGTAGAAAGACCTAAAAAATTCTGACACAGAATGTATAGATAGGTAGGTATAGACTAGCTTAAAAAAACACTTCAATTGTTAATTTTCAAATAATGACAAAACTTAGTAGATTAAAGAAATCTTCCCCCTTATTTATTTACCTTACTAGATCATTTTGAAAGTTAAAATGATAGACTTTAATTTTTATTTTATAATGCATTTTTACTTAATTTTATTATATCAGGCTGTGTTAAAAGAATCCATATGTATTCCTTCTGTAAGAATAAAAGATAAATAATGAGTGGTTTTATGTTTTCTATATTTTATTAATAGTCCTAATGAAATATAGTTAATAAAATATAGTGAAATATTAGTTTTTTGCTTGTATATATGTAATAACAGGGCTCCAACCCTGTTATTAGTGTTGTATTCAGCTTGAAATAATTGCAGTCATAAGCCATCAGACGTTCTAAACAGGTTTATTAAATGTTGGCTGGTATTGATAACAGTTGACGTCCACTCTCCCTACGAGAGGGGGAGTGGACAAGACTCCGGACAATTCCGGCACAGCTTATTTGGATCACATCATTATGAAAAGGACACGCAAAACTATGCGCTCTTACGTTTTATACCAACATAGATTTGAAGTAAAAAGACACATTCGTACATTCCTTGTAACCTTACGCATTAAGGAAAATCATTTCTGCTTCCTTATATGGTATTGAAAAAGGGAACGATTCTAAAAATAACTCTTCCCTTGAAATATAAATCTATTTATATTTCAATGGTATGTTTTCAGCCTTGAATTCCCAAAATAGAATCTCTCTACGCTTATTCTTTAACAAAGACATTTTATGAAAACGAAAGAGTTTTAATTCTTTTATTAATACAAAAGTATTTACTTCTTGTATTACATATATATGAATTGGAGTTAAACTTACCATGGAACATTAATCGGCAAACCACGTTTCAGAGAGTGGACATTGCCAAAAAAAGCATGCAGGTTTCGGTGTTATGTTGGAAATCAACTGCATATTGTATTATACTAAGTTTTATCCTCAGGTCATTGTACTATCTATGGTCACAATTGTGCTGCAACTATTCAAATTTGATCTTGTGGGTGTCTATGGTTTATTATTTTTATTTCTAATCATTTTCCATTTCAGGATTTGGAAGGCAAGAACATGGTTGATGAACTACGACCTGAGGTGATAACAAACAATGTTAAGGCTGAGCCTCCACAGTGTATTTCTATGGCCTGGTCAGCTGATGGTCAGACACTGTTTGCTGGCTACACGGACAATTCAATCAGAGTATGGGGCGTCAGTCCAGGAACTCGTTAACAGTGTATCATATAAAATAAATATCTAAAAAAAGTATTGTACACTTGTTTTGCTCATTTTTTTTACATTCACAATTCATATTCATGCAATTTAAATAAATTAAGTACCGCATGATTATTTTTATCAAAATATTAGCATTTTGTGGATAAATGTTTCCTGCCTACTTTTTTCTTGCTTAAATTTCAGGTATTTTTTCTATTCATATCGTTAAAGAAATAAAATAATTTAAGTTGAATGTTTATTAGTTTATCTAGTGACCGATGAAAATGAATTTTTCATTATTGGTGAAGATCTTTAGAGCATTCTGGAAGGGGAGGCATTCCAAGAGGTGGTTGATCATGTTGACACCACCGCAGTCCGGGCGATTTGGGCTTTGTATCAGTTTACACTTCTGTAAGATCGCGACGCAGGGTTCCCACAGGCGACTATTTGCCTGTAAAGGCTAAAAAGCAACTATTTTCAGGAATAGGCGACTATTAAGAGACTTTTTTACTCTTAGCGAAGTTTTTTCGCATAAATGAACTTTACTTTTCAGAACGTTAATAAAAGAAAGCAAACTTTTATACAATTATTTATGTCCAAAAATTTAAATTTCCATTAGATTTTATTAATTCGACTTTTAGTTAGGTACCCATTTTCTAAAATATATACCTTTTTATATTTGTACAAAACTTTTTTGTACAAATATAAAAAGGTATACATTTAGAATTGGAGCATAGATAGGACTGGGCGATAAATCGATATATCGCGAAATATCCATTTAACGCATATATCGGTAGGCCGATGTAGTGACTTTCGTTTTAGGCGGCACATCAGAAATCTGATTTAAACAGCCGGAATAAGGCTAAATCGCGTTTAACTATTTAATATGCAAGGATCCTTGACTTGGCTAGAACTGTTACCGCACTGACGAAGACGATTTTAATTTCGTCTTGCTGCAGAGATGTTGGTAGATAGCGTTTTGCTATAAAGAGATGTTTGTTTCGTGACGCTGAATGACGAAGAGCGAATTGAATCAGAACTCCCAGTTTCGTGCGAGGATCAGCGTTGTTATGTAGCAATGCACAGTTTCTTTATGTCCATTTTTGTTTTTTAGATTTTACGTTTTTTGAAGATTATTTTCAATGGGACTAAAGTCATTTTGCAATTGTTGTGCATTTTATTTTGTCAGAAATAATTGTCAGGTTCTTTGTAAATTATTTTCAGTCTGACATACCATTTTTTTTTTCTGTCTGGGTTTAACGATTCTTGTCAATTATTTTTAGTAGACCTACGGTTACTTTGCAATTGCTGCACAATCGCTGTTATCTTAAATTTTCGTTCTGAACTCAATAGATCAATGAAGCGAAAATATAAAAAAAAGATTTTCATTGATTTTTTTCCATTGCTGTTTTTCATTTTAAGCGATACAATTGAATAGTGGTATTTCTTATTTAACGTTTTTTTTAAATCTATTAAATGTAGGTAAGTATAATAATTTAATTATTATTAAACCAAGAAATGTCCAATCGTTTTTAACTATAGAAAAATTAAAACAAAGCTTACATTTATTTAGTTTGCTTTTATTTTTGAGAAAATTAAAACGAATTTAAAAAATTTGGCTATTAGTTAAAAAAAAGAAAAAACAAAATTTTTTTAAAATTAAATGAAGAGTACAATACTTGTTTGTTTTATAATTTGTTAGAGAGTCAGTATCATTTTTAAACAAATAAATCTTTAGTCGATTTTATTTTCAAAGAAAATTATAATAAGTATTTCTTAAGTACAGAATTTGACTATTAGTTAATATTACCTTTTATTATTTTAAATAAATAAGAAAGGGTCTAATGCTTCAAAAGCATGGTTTTTTTTTCCAGCAAGTAATTAAAAAAAAAATGTTTTTTTCTAAAGTGAACATTTCTCCAATTTTGTTCCAACATTTGTTTTCCAATTTTGTTTTGTTTTTCTTTTAATTGTCATTGCATGTATGTAAAATATTTTGTTGCAGTATTATTTTTAAAACAATAAATCTTAAATTATTTTTAATTCAAGAAAAATGAAATAAAGCTTGGGGTCATAGTAGAATATGTTTAGAATTAATATTTTCTTTCGTAATAGATTTATTCCTTTTTATTTATTTTTGATTGAAAGATTTCCCATAGGTAATTTTTGAACATATGCTAAATCGCGATACATCACTTTAACGCGATGTCTAACTGACGATGTATCACAATTTAAAATTTCTGACATCACCCAGTCCTAATCATAGTATTTTTCAATTAAGCTATAATTTTAGCTATTTGGCTACTATTTTTGATAGATTTTTGTTCCTGTTCAGGCAACTATTTTCATGCTTGAGGTTACTAAAAGCAACTATTTTTGTTCATTTTTTACTGTTTTTTTTTTACATCAAGTTTTCGAGAGCTGATTAGCGGACGGTACGGTTATGAAACGTACCTGTATGAGATGGAACCCAAATAAATGATAGGGATCTCACTGACTTGTAATGGCAATTAGGCGAAGAAGAGAGATTTTCGTGTGCCTTTTGTAAGAGACAGAAGAATCGAACGGCTGTCCTATAGAAAATTTTAATGGTCATTGCTGGTAACGCAACGTTTGAGGGCAAAGAAAATGACCAGTCCTTCGGCGGTAAAGACCGATGCATGCGGAGGAAGTTGACTTGAAATAGTTTAACCTTAGAAGCTTAAGCATTGAATTCCCAAGCCAATTTTGTTGGGATCCATGGACGAAACTCTTTAAACAAGGCTCGAATCTACAGCGGGATTACATTTTTAGTTTGAAAGGGCAAATTATCTAGAAAAATGAAAACATTTGAAGGGATTTGAGGTGAAGTGGGGTATTTAATAATATCTTGAGAAGTGTTCTTGCTTGTCATCCATTTATGCATGAATGGTATAAGCGGAGTCATTGTGGAAAACGGGATGTAGGGAGATGGGGTCTCTATCTTTTAAGGAATTGGTAACTAATTTTAAACCATAGTTTCTACTACAGAATGGCAACAAGGAAATGATAACGTCGGATCAATGGGCTTTTCGCATTGTGATTGGCTGTTGACTATCACTCATGGTTGCAAGAATTTGGGAAGTTATCGCGTTTATTGTGAATTAAAATAAAAATTTCAATAATTTTGTGCACGCCTGTCTGTGTTCTCGCGTAATCTCGTACTTGGTGTGATGAAACAATTGGTTCATTGATGGATTGTGTTTACATTTATTTCGTAAACAGCCACTGGAAAAGAGGAGATTTGTGTTTAAAAAAGAAATTAGGCGAAAATGTTTTCGAATTTTTAGATATTTATAAATGTAACAATAAAAATGAATGTTTTCTTTGCTATGTTTATTATTTGTTTTTAAATAAAAGTATGTCATTTTGATATTAAGAGTATGTTCTTAATACTTTGCTCTTAATACTTTTAAATTAAGTATTCTCTTATAAAAGCTTAGCTGCAATATTTATATAATTTTCTTACATTCTGTTGTAAGGAAAAGAAAATTCGGATCTAAATTAAAAGAATAATTATGCCATGTAATGTCTAATCATCCTATGCATATTTCCTAACATTTGTACTTAATTATTAAGCATTATAATTGTAACATAAAAAATAATTCTGGAGTAAAGTTCAAATTGATGTTTAAGTGTTTATATATTATGTTTATTCGACATTAAAAGTGTTTCTACTTCTAACATTTTATAAATGAATTTGTAACCCGCAGTTTTAATAAAATAAAATTATCGCTAGTTAATAAAACTATGGCAAGAGAAAAATTATCGGTAAAATTTTTATGTGGTTATCAATTATTATATATTNATAATATTGGAAATGAAAAAAATTCATGTTACATGAAATTTATTTTCGAATAGTTGACTACTTACTTTCATGATGATAGATTAGATTTTTGATTACATATTATTTACTGCTGTGTATTAAGAGTTAGGTCAAATGTGCATCAAGTGGTAGTATAAAAATGTTGCTTTTTTTAAACTTACCACTGCTTTATTAGAAAAACAATTTTGTAACAATCAAATAATAAATATATAAAAATCTATATTTGAAGCATATAAGAGTAAAATTTTTTATTTTTTGATTTAGAAACTATCAATCAAAAAGATCCTTTAAAATTTGAATTATATTTATATAATAAGTAGAAAGAAATATTAGCAAAGGAAAAATTTCATAATGAGTCATTGAACAATATATCAATCACTTTTGAACTGACCCCCCTACTATTTTAATGAAATTTGGTGGAACATGCACACATGATAAAGTAAACAATTCGAACAGTTTTTAATTTGAAATTTGTCCAAGTTATAAACACTTGAAAAAATACCATTTTCACTGAAAAAACCACTAACTTGCATACATATAAATACACTCAAACCCCGCTATAGTGAACACGGTTTATAGTGAACTCCCGGATATAGTGAACGAAATGTTCGGTCCCATGCCTTGCTATACACTGATAATGTTATTTTTTGTGGATATAGTGAACCAAAAAGGTGAGGAAGTTGGATATAATGAACTTTTTTCTGACTTCAACTGATTTTTTAAAAAAAAAATTTTTAATAATTTTGAAAAATCTACGCGTTCCTTCACAAAGAAAGATAGTTGATTTTATACATAGAACACTTTCGCCTGCTAAACTATCGTGAAAATATTGTAAAAGGAGTTTAAAAAATAATATAATATAAATAAACAAATTTTACGGGATTTTTCCAGTTTTTAGGCATTATTTGAAATTTCCGGATTAAAAAAAAGTTATTTTTTTATATAGGATCCTTTAATATATCGAAAATAACATTAAATAAATAATATAATGTAAAATAAACAAAAGAAAATTTTTTAAGAATTGACCACAGCCGGGGTTCGAACCCGCGCCTCCTCACTCCAGGCATAAGTCAGTTGCACATGGTCTTAACCGTTGAACCACGCTTATACGGGGATAGTGCTACTACATAGCTTCAAGTACCCTCTCCCGGTTAGCTAGACAAAAGACTTAAGGGGCCATTGGGGGCCCCCTAATTGATACAATTGATGACAAAA